TATTAAGATAAAAATATTGCCCATTATGCATTATCATTTATCAAGTGCTCGATGCATATAATTATTTTTGAATTTTAAATTAATTTTAACTATAGACTTTAATTTTACCATAATTTGTGTAACCACAGAATAGACAGAACTGATCATTTATAAATTAAACACAATGAAACGTTTCATAACACTAAATGAGTGGTTTTCGTCAGTCTTCCATTCTTCCCATACCTACAGACAGCTGAACATCAGGTAAATGAAGAACAGTCCAGATGGGCGACTATACGCTATTATTTACTCGTGAACGTCGATTTTTATCTTTTTTTTTTCTGTTTTTCTTTTAGAAATTCAATATTATATTGATACAGACAAATTCAAATAAATTCAATTTTTAATAGCGGTATAATAACACTAACCTGCAAAGTTTATATTTTTGTAAAGATAATTCAAAAATTGTATCAACTATCAACTTAAAATAAATTTATTAGGTATCTTAAGATGTTTTTTTTTTTTTTAAATCCATTCTTTAGGAATTGCCACAACGGCATAATTAATTCTCAATTAATTTTTCAACTCTACTTTTTAAAAACTAAAAACAAATAATGTGACAAATGTGTGTAACGAATATTGTAGATTTCTATAATATTTTTCAATAATATATTATTATGTCCCATTATCTCTGCATAAAAGTATCATATTGTGTGGGTTGTCTAATACCTATACATAAATGCGCGGCTTAATATATAGTGACTCCCATCATAATCAATAAACCGTCATAGAAATAACAAATCCTGCATTTTTTGAATTGTTTACTTCTTACACGTGATTTTGATACTTAGCAAAATGTACATCGAACACAATATAATATTCACTTTTATCAGTTCTTATTTTTTCACACATTATGTAATGTCTATAATAAAATATAATCCCTTAATAAATACTATTATCTAACGTTTGAGTAAATATTACATTTTTACTTGATTGTCATTACTGATAGCCGTAAAATCAAACCTTAAAAATGTAAAATAACTATTCACGTGACCTACATTATAGCTTATATTTATGTTACTAAGATATGAGTAGTACAACTTGATACATATATATACCTACCTAGAGTATAATTTTTAAATTTATACCGGACGGTCATACTTATAGTGTTTCAATGCTGTCCTAAGCATATTACGTATAATTTATGCAATTCAATAAAAATGATACGGATTTTTAAACTATTCATAAAAATGTAACGTTATATCATGGTTTTTACTTCTATTGGTGGCATAATATTTATGCTCGCGTCATAATTTTTTATGCATTATAGATATCAGTAGCTTAATCCACTAGCAAAATAAGTTTACACAAACATAATTATATTATAATTCATAATATATTTTATATGTACCTACCTAATAATTTTGTAGGTACATTTTATCGAGACATCCCTTTTCCATGGAAATAATGAAATTTATAAGGATGTGTATATTATAACTGTAGTCTGTAGTCTGTACTACATTTATTTGAGTAGTATGATAAGAATGATGAGAAGAAGAACATGTATAACATAATATACAACTATACAAGAGTATTAATATAAGTAATTTAAATACTTATTGTGTTTTTAATTATTGTAAACTATAATTTTATAATGTAAACATCTATACAAATATTGGATACTCGACAATTTTCTGTAATATAATTTGAATCCTACTGGCCAATACTGCCACAAGTTTTTAACCCAGGTCTAAAAAAAATAATTTATGACATAAATTATAAAGGCCTTCACATATTGCTAAGTTAGGACTCCGAAAAACGTTGCATAATATTATTATATACAACCTAATTTACCCTTGATTCCCCTCCCGTAAATACGCCACTGCAGGGTACAATGGTACCTACATAATATTATAATATTATATGTGAATTTCAACATACACATAATACACATTTAATTATTTTAAGAATGAAAGCTATTTAAAATTTAAATTAATATCCTATTCCGGTTGGCGGTTATATTTAAAAAAAAACACAAAAATGTATACTTCAAATAATTTTTAAATATCCTATATCATATTTTTTTTATATCTTGAAATCCGATGATACTTTAAAGCTTGTGCTATAGACGGTAGGTAGGTATTCAATAGAATGGCCATTTGTATTTACAAAATAACAGAGAAAGAAAATGGGATACCTGCTATAACCTAAGATGAATGGAGTACCTATATAATTTTTTAATAATCGTATAGTATCGAAGCAACTATACGCAAGGGTACCTAATATTTATGATTCCGATCTTTATTCACTAACTATATTCGAGGTGTGTGGGAAGCATTAACTCGGGTTTGATCAACACGATTCTTTAGGCTTATCAAAACAAAACCGCTATAACAATTTATCAAGAACCTCGATCTAAATAACGTATTCCAATACATACGTGCAGTATCGTACCTACCTATACACTATTTTTTAAATTCTGCGTTGTTTATAATCGCCAACAGCGAAATGTAAAATTGCCTTTTTACCAAGAGTTTTTCAACATGTTTTATGGATATAATATCATATATTATACACTAAGGATAACAGAATAAAAGATGTACAATAATTTAGAAAAATATAAATTTACGTATAAGTTTATTCATTTTAGATAAATTAAATAGATAATTTTCCCATACTATAAGTATTAAGTATAATTAATATTAAACTGGATATTACGAATAAAGCATTTCCATGTACATATCAATTCATATCGTATTATAGATGAACAAATAGGTATACGGATACGGGGACACGGGGTATGCCTATTTTAAATCTTATATTTACAGATAGTAACCTGTTGCTAGAATTAGTAACCATTATATTTGGCTCATAAATATTATTACATTATTACAATTATTTTTCCTTTTCGCAGATTATAATTGAATATTAGTTTATTTACAAAGTAAGGGTTTTTACACAGGTATATATTACAACATCCAACATCATATTATGTACTTTAAATCGAATAATTTGCAATGAGTAATGAGTATGCACTTACATTGTGTACAAATACATGGGACGACTCTGACAAATTTGGATAATAATCGTATAAACTGTAAATATGACAATTAATGAGAAACAATTTCGGTAAGTACTTCAATACAAAATGTTCTATTATATAAATGTTAAAATGTATATACATAATATATTTACTATAACTCTAAACACACCTACTTCGGCATTTTATATTCCATAGTTAATTATTGTCGATGACCAGAGACAATCGTTATCAATTAGTATAATAAGAAAACAGACAATAGTTATCAAAAACATTTTCAGACAATAATCATAGCATTCATAGGCGCAATTTGGGTTAAACTTATGGGGGTGCTGGATTTATATCGACTAAAGTGATAAATGGAGGCTTTGCCCCGCACATCTCCTTCCATTCATACAACTTTATTTTATACACATTCTCATTAATCTTAAGGGGATTGGAAGCGGCGATTTTCTGTCTTTGTCTAACACACGTGCAACATAGGATTATAGACGTGTTCTATTTCCAACGTACCGATTAATCTAGTGAAGCGATAAGAACTCTGTAAACAGATTTGAATTTGTCGTCAAGTCTACTTGAGATCGACTTCCCCACATTTTTGATATTATCCCCCAAAAATCATAAAAATCATATATTAAAAAGAGTAATTAAAAAATTGCCATATTTCAATTTTTGGAGAAGTTTTAATCAAAATATCAAAAATGTGGGATTTTTAGAACATTTAGAACATTCTTTAGAACATTTAAAAAAAAACAACACTTGCCGGCCAGCTTTAGAATTAAGATTGTTTTTAAATCTTTGACAAAGTATCAAATTATACAAAATTGAGTTTCAAAAATTATGGAGATTGGAGAACAAAAAGTTATAAACATAATTGACAACAGAAATAATAAGCAAAACATGGAAGCCATAATCGTGCATAAATGCATACAGATCATACCGTATTCATCTCAATGGGTATTGCGTATAGAGATATAATTACAAATGGCCAATGGGATTGATCATTATGGTACCAATCCTATAGGTTGGCCTATAAAATATATACCCAATAACTAATAACCTATTTATATACATAGATACCTATTTTCATATTTTGCATAGGTAGGTAGGTATTGAAGAAAAAAAATATTTAAGAAGGCCCAAAACTCAATGACTTTTTTATTAAATGTCATATAGTTGATGCTTTGCTAGCTAGTAATATTTCAATAACGTTTGAAACTAAATAACTAAATAAGTAACTATTTTGGTTTTTTAGGTCAATTTAGATTCTGAAAGAAGCGATGAGCGATGTGAAATATTTCTAAAAACCAGAATAGTTGAATACTTGTACATTACACTGTATTTCCTGTTGATTTGCCAAGTACTGATATTGGTTTGAAACGGATCGGGCAAAGTGGGGGCTGACCATTTTGATTTGCAAAGTCTAAAAGTCAATTTGCAATTAATTTACAAAATATTGACACTGGTTTGGAGTTTATTAGAAGCTTATGAATAAATTTAACCCCATCAAATAAATTTTTTGCTGTGTTCGTATTCATTTCAAATTGCAATTAATTTGTAAATATTGACACCAGTTTGGAGTTCATCGAACTAGTTGGTGGGTCTAACTTCACAAACATTATTTTAACAGGATAATTGATAGATGAAAATGTCTCTTGTATAATCTTAAATGTTTTTATATTTAATATAATTTTTTTTATTATTTTATATTTATATTTAAACAAAATTGAATACATAAATATAAATTTAGTAAAAGTATTAAAGTATATTTTGATATTTATTGTAAGAATTCATAAAGAATGAATGTATTAATATTTTTTTAGTTATACTTAAAAAAAAGCATTTCTTATTATTCATTATATAATGGTATATACTATTAAATATACTAAATAAATTCAATGTTTCAAAAAAAAAATAAAAAAAATAACATCTTTTCTTTGTAAATAGGTATAATGGGTAAATGTTTATATTTATCTAATAGTTATTCAGACTCATCTTTATATTTTTCACTTGCAATATTAATGTTATTAAATATTTTTCTAGCTGTTGATTCTGTTTCTGTATACCTTGTTAGTTTGAGTATTTCTTGTAAATTTATCTGCGTACATAACATACATCTTAATCAATTCTTATAGGTACGTAACTAAAATTAGGTTTTACCTATTAATTAATAATTAGTTATGTATATTCATGGCCATAACCTGTGGGTCCAAGAGCTCGGACCCCCTTGAATTTTTTTAGCAGTTGTAATAAGAATAATTTTATATTTTTGTTAAATCAGTAATTACGAAAATAAAGAATTTTAAATTTTGAATGTAATAATGATGATTAATGAGTATATTATCTATAGTAATAAAATGTTGGACCCCCCAGAATTTTTTTTAAAATACATTTAATTATAATCATTCAAAATAAATGTGTCTATAATTAGATGGTACTTACTTCATTCTTAAGAATTGTGTACATTGATTTATTAATTTTTTCAGTTAGGGAAAGTAGCAAATTTAAAGATAACAATATTATATTGTTATTGCCCTTGCTAGGTACTAATTTGATGTCATTATTTAATGTTTGTATAAGTTTATTGTTTTCCATAAGTGAGTATCCATTAAATTTATTGCTCACATTATACAATGTTGTATAAGCAGCCCTAAGGAAAAAAACAATTTTTAATAATGTAGAATGCAGGTCTTTATATAATAGTTTAATATGCAAGAAAAGTTGAAATATTTACTTTTTTAAAATACCATGTGAAGGAGGTGTGTAGAATACCAAAGACACAACAAGGTTAACAATATTAATTCCATCATTAACTTGTGATAAAAAATGACAGCCACTTTCTGTGGTTGATAGGTTAGCTACTATTCGTATCAAATGTAACACAAATTTCATTTCATTTGTTTTTATTGATGGCATTTTTTTATTAAATGTTTGAATAAAAGAACTAAGCATTTTAGTTATTAATTGAGCCAAATTTTTTATGGAATCCTAGAAAAATTTAAATGTAAATGTAACTGTGCGTGGATGCAGACATAGTATATAGTAGTTAGGTATATATAATGCATTTTTGGAAATAGAAGAGGGACTTGGTACCCTTAAAAAAAATTGGGCATTTTGCTCTTATGATATAGTGATATAATAATATGTACTTTATATGTATTTATATTATTTATACTCTTATAATTACTTCTTGTAAAACCATATCAACCGCTGAAGATGTTTGAGTTGCTTTCAACAAAGAGTAACAAAATGTAGACCCAATCATACAACTAAATGTAGATTGCTGTTTGAGTTGCAAGTTTAATTTTGTGACTTCAACTTGTAACTCATTTATAGTATTAAGATATTTGTTTTCCAGTAAATGTAATTCAGATCTTAACTTTTCAACTTCAGCTTGAAAAAAAAACATGAGAAATATACTTAAATTAAAAAAAATCAGGTCAGTGAACACAAATGAGAGGAAGGCAACAAGCAGAAGAAGGGTTATTTTGTGTAATGACATTTTTATGGAGAATTTAGGAATGCTAGGATTATCATGTTTAGTTAGTATTTAACAATATTTTTAAAATATAAGCCACATTATAATAAAACTAACTATTATAAACCAAATAAAAATCTAAGGAAGATGTCAGCTTAATATTTGTTTTCCTCAGGCCCACAAGGAACAAAGATAAAAATAAAACACATTTATGTAAATTTTTAATTAATTATTTTTTTTTTATTATGATTTTTGAGTAATCTAGAGTAAAATCACCCATCACAAAAGTATAGAGGACAATATTTAGGGGAGTTTGACAGTTTTATATTTTAAAATTAGGACTATAAAAATTAATATTTTTTTTTTAAATTTAAATGGATATAAAATTATTTTGAGACAATATTTAGACTAATTAATATGCCATACATTATAACATAATTCTCTGTAGTTATTTTAATTGGTGATTTTAATATAAAATTATTTTGCGGGAATGGGGTTTGTCTAAGTTGTGTGTGGACCAGAGACAGAAAACAATCAGTGAGCTGAGTTCTGCTGACATACTCATTAAAATATACAAAAGTAATACTTTCTATAGGTTGTGCAATATGTACAATACTTACACAACAGAACAATATAAATTCCATCTACCTTTTTTTTTTTTTAAATTTTTAAATATTAGGCAGTGCCACATTTAGACATTTTGAGCCCCGGTGTAAAAAAGAATTGACGCCCTACACGAGGGCCTACCCACGACATATGGAAGATAAATCGTCAACTTCTTGGATTTGAAGTAGGTAAAGAACAGAATCTATTGGTTTTACAACAATTTGTGTTTTTTTTTAAATAATGTTTAATAATTTCAAGAATCCCCTCCCCTTTTTGAAGATAATATTGAGTGTATGCCATATGAGTGATGCTTATAATTCGTCATATTAGTTGTTTTAATTTTTACCTACTATTGTGCTAAAATATTATTATGAACATTAAAATAAATGTAATAATACTATAATATTATAAACTATACAAATTAATATTATTGGTAATCCTTACCTGGATTGATTTGAGTCTTAACTAAATTTACCAATTGTATACAATTTACTTTCAATTCTTCAATTATTTGCAGGACTTGAGTTAAATTCACTTCATAATTGCCATAAATTGTTTCAAATGCATCATCAAATGCTTTAAGCTGAATGATATAATCAAAATTAAAATTATTTTTTATATTTTGATCTTAAATAATTGTTTTAAGGAAGTATTTTACCTTAGCTTCGCACTCATGTTTGTTCAAATTCATGTTTTCATCAATTGATGAATTCTCATCATCTATGTTCATCGTTTCTCTATTATTTGAAAGAGCAGATGTAGACTCTTCATGGTTAATTTCTTCTGAAAAGCCATCATATAATGATCTTTTACAACCTTTATTAGGTAACTTCTCCATTGCCTAAGACACAAAGTTTTAATAAAATAATATAAGTAATAACTAAGTCTTTCGAATTAATACTCTTTTGAAGTTTTGAATATTACATAATTTATATATTATATAAATTATAAATAATTATTCAGTATGTAAATATGGTCTACGATTATAAGCGCGCGACCAATCACTAATATATTAGTACCTACCCAACGAGTAAAGGTAAACAAGTAGATAATGGTTATTGTTAATGATTGAATAATATATTACTTATTAGACAAACGGTTGAAACTTGAAATCTATTTCAAAGAAAAAGAATTTAGAATAGGTATTACAAATGGATGATAATTAATAAGTATATACCTAATGGCTAATGCCTAATATAAAAACGGGTTTCCACTATACACGTACAACATGTGTACACTGTACGTGCATACAAATCCTTTGCTGTGATTGGTTGGTTAGGTTAAGTTACCACACGATTAACCATGATACCGTGTGGTAACTGATTGTAAACAACCAATCACAGCAAATGATTTGTATGCATGTACTCGTACCCGTGTATAGTGGAAGCCCGCCTTTAGCTACCTACTACCATGGAACAACTACCGATTAAAGGATTACCGAATGTCTGAAACACTTGAATGGCAAAACTGTGGCGAAATGTGAAATGTGAAATGTGAATTATACAGAAAACGATTTAAGATGTAATAATAATATTATACTTGGTACCTACTTATTGCTCAGTACCAACTATAGAAAAAGTGTGTACCAACCATGAATTAAGACATATAGTATTATTGTATTAAGACTTGAGAGGACGCTACACTGCCATTTGTTGTCATTGTCTTACAATTAGTGCGTAACAAAGCAAATTTACGCTCAGGAGAACGCGTTTAACTCCGTTAGGCTGGGGCACGGTTTAAGATAGACCGTCTATCTTAAACCGTGGGCTGGGGCTATAGCCTGGGGTGTATAGCTGCTCCGATTTAAACCAATGCGTTTTTAATTCGACGGAAAACGCTGCGGAATACGCGGCGTTTGAAACGCGGCGGAATACGCCGTGTATAGCCCCGGCCTAATTAGTTTAAAAATTTGAGTGGATCGACCTATTATGAAACTTGATGGTACATTAATGGCAGTGGCGTAGCCAGGATTTTTTTTCGGGGGAGGGGGGGGGCTGATCAACTTTTACACTTTTAAACATAAAATAGGTATAAAATACTATTGGAACTACTATCCTATATAATTGTACGAATTAATTAATCAAGAAGTTCTTTCTTGGAATCGAATATAATATATTATGTTACTTGGCCATTATCGTTGTATCTTGTTTGGGACATCATTTTTTATAATAGTATATAATATGTGTTGTCTCAGTCTTACAAATGTACAACATATCAAAAACTGTTTTGCGCAGGAACACTTTTCTCGCACCATATTTGTTGTAGAACTACCAAATTTTCACAACACGTAAAGAAGAACTTTATCTGTGCAACAGCTTGCTCCTTTTTTCAATAGCACTCTCCAATAATTTTTTTATAAGCAAATGAAAAAACCAAAGGCCTAGAAGCAAATAACTTTTATTGTATTTATGTTATCTAAAATATGGGCAAGCTGTTGCATACATAATTTTCCACCCTATATGTTCAGAAATTTTGGAGCCACTACTACAAACACAGAAAGATAAAAGTTGTCTAGCGCAAAACAGTTTTTGCTATGTTGTACATTTGTAAGACGGAGACAACACATGTGGGTGTGACTTCCTCTTAAAGTGTAATCAAATATTATAAGCCATAATAATGTATTCGTGCATACACTTCAACATATTTGTACTTAATTATGCAAGTACAATATACTACAATATTACATTTATAATTTACTACCTATCAATACAAATGTTGTAAAAAAAAGAGCCTCGTCTGTTATATAAATAAAAATAAAATTTTTAGTATACATATACATTTAAAGTATTCTGTATAAAGTAATAAGTATGTTGTATTTCAGATAGACCTATTCCTATACTGAAAATCATGAACTCAAAAGCAGAACAATCGCCTATTCACATGACGTACAGTGTTATATTTTACATCAAAATGAATAGTATCATTTTTTTTTTATGTATTACACCTAACTGGATCGGATCGTTTCGCACACCACCCTGAGACAAGTTGTACAATGTACATATAATATATACTATATGGTACTGAATAATAGGTTAAAGAATAATGAATATATATGATGATCCGTATAATAATAAGGGTGAACAAATATAAAGGACGATGGAATCCCATTCGCAACGGTTGAATTTATGAATGATGAATCCATATTCAATATGGTTACCGATCGGCGATCTATATATCATGCACATATTATAGGTTTTAAAAACGTGAAGTTTTTTTTTTTTACAACACTTCATTGTAATGTTCAACTGTTCAAGTATAGTGGTATTTTTACACCCGATTTAAACCTTACTATACAGTTCTCAGACACTCAGTATATTATGTAATAATATATAGTAGTTTTATTTTGTATATTATATATTATATATATTGATGATTTACAAATAAATAATAATATTTATGATATTATTTGAATGAAGTTTTTATAATATTAATATTTAATTGCTATTAATTGTTTTATTATTATTTATAATATGGAGTGCCTATATTATTATAATAATAGTAAATAGTACCTAAATATTCATTCGGGATTTTTATCACGTATTCACATCATTCTATCTTCAACCAGAATAATTTAAATTGTATTACCATACACTTATTCTAAAATACTTAAACCGTTCAAATGTATTAACTTTAACATAATTTATACCTATACATATTTTTTTAAATATTTAATAATAATAATACATACCTATAGGCTACATGAATATAATATAAACTATATTATATTATAAATTTGAAGCCTAGAAAAATATTTCTCATAATTGAAAAAAAACGAATTTAAATATAAACCACGTGACTCCGTCGTAGTTTGTGTTTTGTCTCTATAACATTTTGTTACTGATTATTATTTTAAATACTTGATTTAGTCATGTAGATATATATTTATACTTCATTAAGCAAGCGTGTTTTATTGTAATTTAATTGACTATAGTCTATAGTCTTTAATCGTGTGAGCGATCGCTAAATTTAAAACTTATTGAACATTTACTATTCCATATGGGACTAAAAAACAATATAACGTTAACTACCATTTATAACATACCTATATTATATTTTAATGTTAAGTTGATATAAATGTATCCATAAGGCATAGGCTACAACCGGGTAGATACATTATAGTATACTTACTATTATTACTATTATATGAATGTATGGTAATATGGTATTAAAATGCGTATTCGTGAATCATGAACCAAAAATAATGTGGTTGTAATAATATTTAGAGTGTTAAGAACTGAAGTTAGAGTATATAGTTGACGAGAACCTAAAATATTTTAATGCATAGTATTATAATAAAATAAATAATAAGCACTATTGATTCAACTCAAGTCTTTTAGAATTTAGTTGGGAGAAACAATTTTTTAATATTCATTAAAAGAAGTTGTTATTTACACTTAGCATGTTTACAGAATATGCTAAAATTCAAAAACACTCACACAGTTCATTTAAGACTTAAATCATAATTATCGTATGAAAACTATAGAAACCATGTTAACAATATTTTTAATCCTAGAAAAATTTCTTTCCACCTAATGCGTATTGAATTATTACTATAGGTACTAACTAAAGCATAATAAGTATACTTAATATTTATAGATAAATTATTGCATAAATAATTAAATAATTAATAAATAGACCAAAACGACTAAAAACTCAAGTGTCACTATGATGGGTGACTTCTTCCCAAAATACATATTAATAGCTTATTACGTATACGTCTTACTATAAATAGTATGGTCGACAGACGTCAATTTAAGAACCTCGGCGGCGACAACTTTCCCAAAATGTTCGTCCACGAAATCCATATTGAGAGGTTCTAATGTTCTATATAGTCCGCTACTCCGCTATCCCCTGTACTTCGACAACCGTGCACTGTGCAGGTAGATGCTCGGCCAAAGTAACCACCATCGGCACCATTCATGTCTGTGTGTGTATACTGTATTTACGTTGTGACTGGGTAACCGTGATATTTTTCGTTGGTCACCTCTGTCCGTTTTTTCCTAGTCTATCTCGCCACCGTCTGATTCACGACCGTTTTCGCATTGTCGTCTTCGAGTGAGTGCAGTTCTTCCCCAAAAAAAGTATTTCATCAAAACTAGTCTGGAGCGAGCCTCCATACATAAATTCCAATTTCCAACGTGACGAAACACACACTGCCACAATTACGCCCTATTAGGGAACTAGTAACATGTACACAGGGCCGGATTTAGGAATGTGGGGGCCCTGGGCCCACCTTTAGAAGTAGATATTTTTTTCGATTAAGTACATAATATATTTAATAACCAGAATTTTGGTTATGAAAAAACAATGATTTATCGCCTGGTCGGACAGTCAGTTATATTCGACGGACACTTAATTTTTTTACAAATTTTTCAAACACAAATAAAATTTGAAAACAAATTTAAAAAATATATTCCAACAGTTATTAGATAAACTTCTCGTGTTTAATTTGGTATAAAAACTATGTTTCTACGACTTACGAGGCCTGAGTACTATTGGAACTACGAAAACATGTTTTTACGATCTATTTTTTTCTACATACAGTGACGGCTTTTAACTACTATCGTACGTGCAGGAACAAGTTGTTATTAAACTATTATATTATAGATTATTAAATTATAACTAGGTTTTTATCGAGGTGATTTTGAAAATCTATTTTTCCAGCTGTGCTATCAATAAATATAAAAAACGATATTTTTTATTTATATTTTTAATCGTGACACTAACAATTTTTGGAATATTAAAAATCACCACGATAAAAACCTAGTAGGTTATCTCGTTAATCAATCTTAATCCGTTTTCAAAATTGAAATCTGTCAAACCAAATTACTACAGTTT